TGCATTTTGGATCTTTCTTTTCCTCGTCTTTGAGTGAAAAAGAGGTAGACAACGGGCTATCGACGCACGGCTTGGCAACCAATAAAATGGAAAAGTCTGATTCCAAATCCTTGCAGAAGAGAATGGAGTGGTATTTATATTTATTAAGAAATTATGTTAATGCATTGCGAATAAAGAAAAGGAATCGGTGGAAATCTATGATCACCTGCGTCATGAAAGAGCAAGGCATTTAAAATAAAGGGGGGGGGGCGTCCCCAATACTAAAATTGGTTCAATAGATTCTTACGTCTTCCAATTTCACCTCATTTGGTTTCATGCCTTACTAAGGTAATCTAAAATACGAGATAATGTTGATGTTATCGGATAGACTCTAGGTTTATCTGGAATTGTGTCTAGACGATTTGGCTTTTCTGTCTTTAGCTTTCACCCTTAAACCCCGGAAGGTTCGTTGTGGCGCCGACGTGCTAAGCTTTCACCAATCTCCTCCACCTGTTGCTGTCGCTGTATAGTAACCCGGGCTGCGACCGTTCTGGTATAAAGTTGTTTCGTGGCGTGTCTTGGACGTTTTAGCCTGGTGGAGTTCATCCGTCTCCGTGTTAGACCGCAGCCGATGTCCTTACAGGTAGGTGGCTCGCCTTAGTCGCGAACACATGGCCGAGGAACCCTTCTGCACTGGGAGGTGACCCAAGTCGAGGAGGTCCTTCACCAGTTGGCGCCTTATTGACACCACCCCTTCATGTGAGGTTAGTCTGCCAGCTGAAGCGGTTTTACAGGGCAACGGCAAGTTAGAACAATCCCGTAGGAGATTTATGAGATGGTTTCTTGAAGATTACTGTTGTGGTAGGATCCACCTACTTTGCATAGTGGAGTACCGACCATATAAATATGGTTGGTACCGGGAAGACGAGGAGAGGAATCAAGAGATTCAATCCAGAGACTCTGCCCGACTGCGACTAAGTCAACACATTCTCCAGGAACGGTCTTCCCAAGAATATACAGAAGACTATATGTAAATATTGTGCACCTTTCTTGTTTCAATACATTTTGTTCTAAGTACATTTTGTGTTGTATTATTATTCCATGCATTAGTCAAGTTTCAACAATTACCAACAAGATTAAAATAAATAAACTCTTTAAAGTGATTAGTGTAAGAAAACTAAAAGACAATCCTTTGATGAATTGGACCGTGTAGGTACTTTGCTGTTGCCAGAGCCAGGTAAGATTTATAATGCAATAATTACAAGTTTACATGTAACTATCGGTATCTTCTCTTTTAAAAGAAATCTAGAGGATTGCCATAGGCTTAGAAACTAGTGTTATACTATAATCCCTTAATCAGAGACGAACATTTACAGTAATCTCTTTTGCTTAAATGAAAATCTCTATTTCTCTCTGTAAGCTGCTATACGATTGCCAAGCTAGTGTCGAAACAACATTTGGCTCTGAGTAATGACCGTTTTAGCTTAAATTTTTATTGATTGGTGAAGCCGATGCGAGATCTGCTAAGCAAATCTCAATCAGTGTTGGTCGTTGCTATTTCTTGGCCAATTCACTTCTTATGTTCTCTTCTCGATATATGTTCAGGTAAATTCAAAAAGATGTCTTGCTTATCTTTAAAACCAGATCTTCTATATACGAATTTAAATGTCATGTGATGCTGACTATATAGATGGGACCAATCAACTTCTAGAGAAGAGAATTAATCAACATGTCCCGGTGATTATTTGGGAAAGTGTTGGATAGATGATTTGCATGGGTGTGTAGACACATCTGGGTCTGAAAAAGTATTTTAGCTACCATCTAAAAGTCCTGGGAAGTATTTTTATTCAGCCAAAACAACGATCCTTGTGTAATCAGAAGGAGTGGCTGTGCGGACTTAATATAATCTGCTTATGTAAAATATATTTTCTCGATATGTTATTGAGACGATCGGGGTTCTTTGTAATGGTTAGCAAGCTCGTGTCATTAAACTAATTATATCGGCATATTGAGTTCGACCCTAACTTGGTGCCCCATACTTTCGGCCTTGTGCCACATATAAGCTGCGCTTAGAAAACTGATATTAGTGAAACAGGTGTGCTTTTTTGGTCTTCATTTTCTATTTTTAATAGGTGCACAGTACTTTTATTTATTAATCTCGATCTTGTTTTGCTGAATGAAGCATGAAACTGGTTAGCCCCTTCCATTTTTGTGGGAAGGGGACTTATTTGTATTTTTTATGCTTGTTTTTATTTTTCTACCAAGTTCAGTAGTTGTGTTTTTCCTATTCTTGTTTTTTTTTTTAAATTATGTCCGTTTTATTGTTGAAATGTTTATTATTAAAGACACTTTTAATAGACCGTAAGTTTTATGCTAATAGTTTTTTTTCTCACACTTCCCGTCTGTTGAACTTTCTTCCAAATTTTTGCTTCCCGGTAATCTTTAATCTTAAAAATGCAATATCAATCGTTATCTTCTGTCTTCTTAAATACTGTTCTTTTATTGTTCTCACTTCTTCATAGTTTTTTTCTCATATTCTCTGATAATCAGTAACCCCTTGAGTCTTAGTGGCTTTATTGTCTTTCTTGGGTTTAAATGATTAAAAAAAAGGAAAAATTAAAAACATGATTATGAAACCAAAAGTACTTTGGATCGTAATGATATTTCATAAGTATTCACTTCACAACAATCTTTATAGAATTTTTTTACGCTAAACTTTCTTTTACTAAACCATTTCCATAGAGTTTCGAAAATTCTTTTCACAGAACATTTTTCTGTATCCGTATTGATGGTTAAACTTTTGCAGAGATCAAAATGTATTCTTTCCGCCATTTTATGAGCATATTTATTTTTTATTATTCATAATATTCTTTCTTAGTAGCTCCACTCAATGTCATGTTCCGTTAAATATTTCTTTCTCGAATATATAACATTGGAGAATATCTAAACTTGTGTTTCCAATTCAATATTTTGCTATGCATTAAACATATATGTTTATGAATTGACAATTGCATTTTTATTATTTTTACATTTTCCCTTTTTGCATGTTGCGAGAGCTTATAAAGGCAGAGGAATCGAGAAAACCATAAAGATGCAAGCCTCGCTTTCGGATTACGTTACCATTAGCGACCAACTTTATTATTTTAATGGATGTGTAGATATCTGCTGAATCATCAAAAACATTTTTCCATAGTTTTCAACCACGTTACATCTACGTTCTTCCCTAGGATAATTGATATATAATTGAGCCAGAGAGTTTTAAGGGCTGTAGATATCGCTGTATAGAAATAAAGATATGTTCGATAAGCTTACGGGGGAGGGGATAATCCGTGAAGGAGACATTTTACCAAATAAGTTTGCTTAGATATGAGATAGTCACATGATCACATTTTGCTACAATTATGCAAGCAATATTTCAGTTTTTATCAATTACTCTACATGTTTTGAAAACTAAATGTGTCAACTGTTTGCAGCATTTTAGTTGATATTTTTCTGTTTTTTATTAAACATTTTGACATAAGGAATTCTACTTTGATTAAAAGAGAAAATAATTCACTGAGACGAAAATGTCTGGAAATTACTTTGATCGTTAGTTCAGCCATGATATATTTCCGTCCAGTCTCTTACAATATATAACCATTTTTCATACTTTTTCTCTTGTCATAATGTGGGATACTTAGAGACAAAGGTGATGGAGAGAAAACGAATATAGATGAATTTGGCGAAATTGTAAGAAATATTCTTTCAAGAAAAAAGAATGATTCTTTGAAAAATCCGACCGCTTTCCATCACCACGGTCGATGCCTACGGGTTCGATTTGGGAAGAGAACCCAACTGCATACAGGCTTCTGATGATGTCGTTTATTGCTGCATGACTTGGAAAGCGGCCGGCACTACGACGACAGGAGAGAGGATGCAAACCAAACTCATCAATAGAAGCTCCACATCTGCATCTATGACACGCAGATCATTTGAGTCCAAGATGGATCGCGACTCTTACCCGAGTGCACTCATCCTCTAGACGGGTACCCGTAGATAAAGAGGGCACTGCGTTGAGCCAGGCGCCACTACTCGGTTGTGAATTTGTCCTTTGTTTAAATGTTTAATTATTTAAAACTCAATTTAATTTTGTTAACTGATGTCGTTAAATGACAACACATAAAACGCATTGGTTGTTTACCGTAACGAAATTGGCTACAATTTTGACATAAGGAATTCTACTTTGAGTAAAAGAGAAAATAATCCACTGAGACGAAAATGTGTTGAAATTGCTTTGATCGTTAGTTCAGCCATGATATATTTCCGTCCAGGCTCTTACAATATATAACCATTTTTCATACTTTTTTCTCTTTTCATAGTGTGGAATAGTTAGAGACAAAGGTGAATGAGAGAAAAAGAAAAAGAATATAGATGATTTTGGCTAGATTGTAAGAAATATTCTTTAAAGTAAAAAAAAAAGGCTTCTTCCAAAAATTTTGAAACTACCAGCGACGCTCGTTTCGTGCGCATGCGTAGACGTGGCAACATCAACAACGTTATTTTTAGTGGATAACCATATTTGACTAGACAACCCGTTTATTTCTAGCCTATATTTCTTTCGAGTGCTGAATCTTCTTTCTCGGCACAACTCAAAAGCCGTCCTCTGTCCTCTAAACTCTGATGTTTTGTCATTTCTTCTATTTTAGTAATTGAATCAAGCCGAAAACTTTATATCTGCCCCATATACATACATACATATATATATATATATATATATATATATATATATATATATATATATATATATATATATATATATATATATATACTTATGAGGCATGCTTATATTTGTGGTTCAATATCAGGGATAGAGCGTATGTAAATATAAAAGTTGACATTGTCACCTCTAGATGTTGACTTTAGTGACCATTTTAACACACACATACACACACACATATATATGTATATGTATATATATATGTGTGTGTGTAAACCTCTCTCTCTCTATATATATATAGATATGAACAGATTGAGATAGATAGCTAGCTAGCTAGATATGAACAGATTGTAATAGATAAATAGATAGGTATGAACAAATTGAGATAGATAGATATGAACAGATTGAGATAGATAGATAGATAGATATTAATAGACTGAGACAGACAGACAGACAGATAGATAGATAGATAGATAGATAGATAGATAGATATGAACAGGTTGAGCTAGATAGATATGACCAGATTGAGATAGATAGATTTTAACAGACTGCGATAGATAGATAGATTACATAGATATGAACAGATTGCGATAGCTAGCTAGCTAGCTAGATATGAACAGATTGCAATAGATAAATAGATAGGTTTAGTTAGATAGCTAGATAGCTAGCTAGATAGATAGATAGATAGATCTGGACAGAACAACGATAGATCTATTATATCTTATATATAAAATGAAAAGAATAGATAGATAGATAGATAGATAGATAGATAGATAGATAGATAGATATAAACAGATGGAGATAGATAGATAGATAGATACGTAGATAGATATGAACTGATTTCGATAGATATGAACAGATAGATAGACAGATAGATATGAACAGATTGAGATAGATAAATAGATAGATGGGGAGAGAGTGAAATAATTAGAGAGGAGGGGGTCGAGATAAGCGCTAAGATAGACAGTGAAAAACAAACAGAAATGATTAATCGACATGATGATCGAAGGCCAGAAACGTTTGTTTTGATCTTGTGAATGTCGTGATTGAAGCAACCCTACAGAGAAAATCATTCATTCGAAGGCATGCAAGGCTCGTGTCGTATAGAATATCGAACACTGAAGAGGTTCAGTGATTGAAAGAAATGCGTGACTCTGGGACAACAGCCCGGACGAATTTCCCATTACGACTTCGATTTGATAATCGGTAATGGTTAATAAATATGTTATTCGTGATTTAGAAATTAAAGAGGGATACCGAATTTGATGCTTGATATAGACTAGGACAGACAGGCACGCACAGAAACATGTTTATATATATATATATATATGCATATATATATATATATATATCTATATATATATATATATATGTATATATGTGTGGGGGGTGCAACAAATAAGAGATATAGTAGAAATAGAAAAATATATAGAAAATGGGAAAAAATGAACTTGGATGAAAGAAAGATGGAAAGAAAGAAAGGAACTAACAAGGAAAGAAGGAAAGAGAGAAAAAGAAAAGAAAGAAGGAAAGTAAGAAAGAAAGAAAGAAAGAAGGAAAAAAGGAAAGAGAGAAAGAAAGAAGAAAAGAAAGAAAGAAAGAAAGAAGGAAAAATGAAAGAGAGAATGAAGGAAGGAAAAGTAAAGAAAGAGAGAAAGAAAGAAAGAGAGAGAGATAGAGTGTGTGAGAGAGAGATAGTGTGTGTGTGTGTGTGAGAGAGAGAGAGAGAGAGAGAGAACATTCTTTTAATCATTTCACTCCCAAGTAAGGCAATAAAGCAACTCGGACGCAAGTGGTTACTGAGTGTTTGAGAATATGAAAAAAGAGAGAAGACAATAAAACAATTCAAGAGATAACTATTCGCTCTTTTGTCCACTCAGAGGTACTCTCTTTCTTTCTTTCTCTCTCTTTCTCTCACGCATACACACACACACACACACACACACACACTCACGCACAGAAACACACACACGTTTTTTTTATATATGTGTATATGTCTGTAAAAAAGTTCACATATTAAGAGCCCAAACAAAATTTAAGAACGAAACTAAAGAAAAAAAAATCTTTCTCCGCATTGGTACTACGGATTAAAATTCTGTTTATATATATATAAAACAGAGGATGTCTGTGTGTCTGTCTATCTGTCTGCGTGTCTGTCTATCCGTCTGTGTGTCTGTCTATCAATCTGTCTGTGTGATACCTTTTCACTTGAGATTCATCCAACCGATTTTGACCAAACTTGGCACATACAATATACAATATAAGAGATAGGTGCTCGGGGTTAAAGATCGATAATTTTAAAAAATCAATAATCGATAAAGCCGATCAAAAATCGATAAATTCAACATTTTTCGTCCGATTTCGTTCAAAATCAGTATGTAGGTTACATATTTCATGACGAGATCAAAGATATCTCATTTTTATTTCTACATCACTGCGTTTAGCGAAAAGCCGCGTAAAAACGAAAAAATCGATTTCAGCACAAATTTTAAACTAAAATCTCCCTCAACTTTCAAGAAAACTAATGCAAACTTCAGTCAAATTAAACAAAAATTAGATAAAAGTACATATAACACTGTAATACTTCTGGGTACTAATTATAAGACAAAATGTTTTAAATTTGCATTGTTTATTGAAAATCACACTAAAACTACAGCACTGTGTATCATATTGCATCATGATATAGTTAAATTGTTCAGTATAATTTCCCTTTAAGTAAATGAAGGTCTTATTTGATGGCATAATGATTTAGTAATAATGTGCTTGTTGCCATGAATCTAGTCCATATACAATTTGTAAAGGTTCAGTAAATCAGAAATTTTGTAAGTCTGTGATATAAGGTCTCTCTGATTACCGGAATGAAATTCCAACGCTATGATTTTGAACATAAACTTAAAATTTAAAATCATTTTCTCAATAAACTCTAACGATTTGAAAAAAAAATGTTTTGTGTCGTTATTTATCATGTCAAACTCTAATTTCCAAACTGACCGCAATAAACACGGCCTGCCCTAATCTGCGATCTCTTTCAGCTCGTAGACAATAGAGAAGTCATATCACTATCGGCCTTCATCATCGATTTAACGTGCGTTATTCCTGAAATCGGAAATCACCATGTATATCATTTTTATTATCTGATGAATAATTAGACAGGATAACATCAAAATTAGCTCGCACATCACAATTATTTAGCAAACGATGATACGAGGCACCTCAGCATGATTAGTGAGGTTAGTTTCGGTGATCATTATAAGTCAAATTTTCAATGGGTGTCTCCAATACAAGTAAGATTATTAAATTAACGAGGATACATTCAATCAATAAGAAAACTCACTCGCCAGCCACCTGACAATGGCATCACCATAGAATATTACGTTCGTATTTAAAAAAAAAAGGTGTTTGAAAATGAAAAAAGATGGGATCACTATATTTAAACTGGATCTTGAAAATAACAAAAAGTATATTTGAAAGAGCTTAATCATGACCATTCAGGCAGTATGGGCACTCATTGGATTCAAATAAACGCTGTCTTGGCGGTAAATAACTAAAGATAGTTAAAAATAAGACAACACAATAAGACATCCTTGTCAAGTAGTCTTCATCTATATAATAAATGCCAATATCAGTGTGTCACGTTTTTTCAATTAAAGGGACACAACTCTCTAACTTTCACTAGCTCATGTTACAGAAATTTCGGATTCCTATAACTGCGATTGTTCTCGATGATTTTTTACGTGACATTTTACGACGAATTTTTTTTGTACGATAACAATTATCATAACATAGGAATAATCGAAATTATTTGCGAAATCCATAGAAAGTCACCCATGAAGTAAACATAATTGTTTGTACGGAAAGTAAGGATCTACGTACATCAAATTGTCTTTAAATTAAGTGGTAGCAGAAGAATTATCGTTGAACTTTTAAAAGGTAAGCTTAAATATTAATGCAATTGTTAAATGCAGCGATCAATTTTGAGTCCTTCTGTATATTGTTGCCCATCGCATTAGGCAGCAGTTTGCCTCACAAAAGAGAAATCTCTGCTAACAGAGGACCAGATTGCAATCAAAAGAGCCAAGGCTGCAGCAAGGAAAAGAAAGTCCCATGCAAATAAGAACCCAAATCTAACGGCAGCCTGAGAATATGTAAATACTTAGGGACTCTCAAATTCACGAATAAGCCAAATCAAGAACCTTCCTCAGTTAATATATATTAAACATATATTAACGCACACACATACACACAAACAAGCACATAAAATCGCATATATATATATATATATATATATATATATATATATATATATATATATGAAATAAATGTATATCTAATATTATATGAAAAGATTACTTACCATTTGAATATCTATTTTATCCCGATATCGATGTTTCTTGGTTAAAATTTCCAGTCTTCAGGGGTTGTGGTTTTAAACGGTATTTGCAATTTTTCTTAATTTTTTAATTTCTTCCGCGTCTTTTTCAATTTGTTTTTTACGCCATTTGTACACGCGGGTATTCATGAATTTAACGCGCATGTTCATGATATTTTGCTTTCGTTTACGTCTTTCGTTTTTCATATATATATATATATATATATATATATATATATATATATATGGCACGGTGGAGTAAGGGATAGCGGCTTGGGTTGAGGAATCGGAGAATCTTCTGTAAAGAAGAGATAGTTATATATATATATATATATATATATATATATATATATATATAATTATTTAAAAATATGATTCCAAATCGCGACATAAGAAGTCCCATGTTTCAAAACAAGAGCCGAAAAAATCAATATAATTATTTAAATTATTTAAATTAAATTGAGTTAAAATAAGCTCTGTTCCATCTTCAAGCGAAATTTTTTTTGGAATAACGTGTTTCTGAAATTTACGTGTTTTAAAAATTGAAATCAAAATTTCCATGGTAACAGCTAGGGCGAATTATTTAAGTTGGGTAGGCGGGTGTTGGGTGTTAATAATAAGTATCAGTATACTAGTTTTAAGATTGAAAAAATCAGAAAAATTATATTTAATGAATTTAAAAAACTAAACTTAAAGGTAATTGTCTCTTCTAATTTAAAAAGGGTAAACTTCCTTGACGTAACTCTAGACTTACCTGGCAACACATACCAACCTTATAGCAAACCTAATGCTAACCCTTTATATATACACCCGAAGTCAAACCACCCTCCATCCATAATTAAACATAAACCCTCGTCAATAGAAAATAGAATTAGCATTAACTCCGCTAACAAGGAAATATTCCAACAACACAATGGCTTCTATAACACTGCCCTAAAAAATAGTGGTTATAAAAATGCTAACATTAACTATAGAGACAATTGCACTGGCCATAGGAAAAAAAACAGGAATAGAAAAATCATTTGGTACACCCCTCCGTTCAACCAAATGGTTAATATTAAACTAGGATAAAAATTCTTAAACCTAATTGATAAACACTTCCCCACCAATAGTAAGCTTAGTAATATATTCAATAAGAACACCCTAAAATTGAGTTACAGCTGCTCTGAAAATCTTGAACGTATAATAAAAAAACACAATAATAAGATCTTGAACAAACCCCCATGCCTAAACAGTATTAATAAAAACCCTGCACTTAAATCAGACAATAAAAGGGAAAAATTATGTAACTGTAGAAACCTAGAAGACTGCCCATTAGAAAATAAATGCTGCATTAAATCAGTGGTATACCAATGTACTATATCATCCACTGAGAGCCCTAGCACTAATAAGATATACATTGGGTCCACGAAGAATAATTTTAAACATAGATGGAGGCAGCATAAGTGTTCTTTCAATAATATAAACAAAAGAAATCAGACTTCCCTATCTAAATATTTTTGGCATTTGAAGGAAACAAATAGGACACCCTAAAGTTAAATGGAAAATTATTAACAAGGCTAGAACATGTAAAACTTGGGATGACCCATGCCCTTTATGCCTCCATGAGAACTTACACATAATTAAACTTCTAAATAATAATAATCTATTAAACAATAGACACGAGTTAACGGTTTTTGTAGGCATCATCAGATTTTTGGTTTGAACTATTAGCTAAAAAACTCGCATACAATATAATAACTTGTTTAATCCATAGCCCACTCATCAGATTCATGATTTGAATAATTAACTAAAAAACATGCATACAATATAACACCCTTCATAATCCATAGCCGAAATAAATAGTTTAAATACCTAAAAAAAGATAACCCTTTATGAAGTCGTCAAAAAACAAACGTTACGATAGTTTTTGTTTGTTTTTTTTTATATGCACAAATCCCTTTCATAAAAAAAAAAAAATAAAAAAAATAAATAAATCTCCATAGACATGCAAACTAGACGAGGTTAATACATCTTCCGTTTCAAATTTAGACACCCCACCTTTCACTGACTTGACATCTACGAAAGTAACTCTATACTGATACTTTTATTATTAACACCCAACACCCGCCTACCCAACTTAAAAACAATTCGCCCTAGCTGTTACCATGGAAATTTTGATTTCAATTTTTTAAAACACGTAAATTTCAGAAACACGTTATACCAAAAAAAAATTTCGCTTGAAGATGGAACAGAGCTTATTTTAACTCAATTTAATTTAAATAATTTAAATAATTATATTGAAGTTTTCGGCTCTTGTTTTGAAACATGGGACTTCTTATGTCGCGATTTGGAATCATATTTTTAAATAAATAATTATATTTATGCTCTAC